CAGCAGGAGGGTGTTTTTATTTTTATTGAATTGCTATCATGAAATCTAATTCCAAAGTTTTCGATCAAGCACTGCCAAGACAAAAACTCCTGATTCAGCAGCCAATAAAAAGTGATTAACTTCAGCCTAGCTCTTAATACAAGTGATTAACTTCAGGATGCAATAAAAGTTATCAACAGGTTATCAATAGTAACAGGTTAACCCCAGCAACAGCAGCAAAATGACTGCTAATAATCTAGTGTTCAGCAACAGGAGAAACAAGGGCATAGAATCAAGGAATTAAATTGAATTATAAAAAAATAGAACCACCAAAAAAATTGTGAACGATGGGCTACTAATAAAATAATTATTTTTAAAATTAGCAGGAAAAAAAAAACAAATAAAACACAGTGGAGGACATGGTTCTTATTTGAAGATAAATCTGCTTTGTAAGCAACTAGTAAGTTGCACTGAAGTTTCAGGGAAGGAGTGGGGTAAAGGTGTCTAGCAGGCATTTTTGGCAGAGTAGACCATCTACTCTATCATATTAAATAATGATTGTTTGTAAGGGCCATTAAAGTCAATTGTCCCTTTTTATTTTATTCAATAGCCTCTGCACGTGGCCCAGAATTTCAGCAGTATGACTACTTGCTTTGTAGGCATGGGGTCTTAAAAAAGTTGCAGTTTGCAGATGAGATTTCCCATGTCCAAGCCAGAACACACTAGCAAACTAGAGGTTTCCAGGCATTACATCTGTTTTGCTGCACAAAGCATTTTCATCTCAGTCTTACCTGTACATTTTCTTCTGTAACTTGAATTTCAGCAGTGTAAATATAATCAATAAGCATCCTTAGTGTCCAGCCATCAACTTCCTTTATTCGCACTCTCTTTGCTCGGCTTTCACTCATCTCACCTGAAAATACAGTTTGATAGTCAAGTAAATCAGGCAAAAATAGAGCACAACTTAGAAAGAATTTAATAGTAACTGCTCTTGCCTGCAGCAGACTTTTTTTTTTGTCCGTGATCACTTGTAATAATAAAATCACTGTGAGAAGAACTCAATTTCCTTCCATCCTTCCTCCCTGTAGGAGTTAGTGCCACCTGAATGTTATATGGGTTAATGCTATTATTGCAGGTGACCTATTTTCTCCAGTGTATATATACCAGTAAATATGGTTATCAGACCTAAATAACACCCTTCAACTCCAAACAAAAATATTTTACTAACATTGCAAACCACCAAAGTATTTATTGCATTAACTCCTTAATGGAAAGAACATATCAAATGCAGGCTGTAGAGCTTTTACAAAACAGAGAAACAACAACAAAAAATCTACCTCAATCAAAAATCTACCCTCCTGCTGACTTATCAGTCCCTTAGCATGTGCATCTCTGTTACAATTCTGATTTAAAAACTCTAAGACAAAATGGTAAGTAATGGAAAACTTGTTGGATCTTAACTTGTGGAGGCTGAAATACTGGCCATATTCCAGAATTAATCTTCCCAGAAAGGCCTGCAAAATAGCTTCTGCCTTCTAAAATATGATGATTCTCAAAATGCAACATTTTGTTTGTATCTGAAATAACTGTCTAAAAATACACCAAGTAATGGCCACAGCCTTCTACATGACTACTAAGCAAAGATCTGGTCATCTCAGGTATTTAACGCTTTTTTCACTGATTACACACTGGGAAGTGAAATACAAACTACCCCGGCTACATTGGTAGATATATAATATTTGGCTTAGGAACAGCTCAAGATTGCTGCATGGATTCCTTACTTTTATA